TTTACGACCCGCTTGACGTGAATATACATAGACATAGACCGAGAAACTACGACTCTTCATTCAAGAGTTTAAAGAAACTTTACTAACATATTTAAACATTTCACTCGCATATATTTGTATATAAAATATTACTATTTGAATAATAAAAGTAGTAGATTATTGCCTTGATTATTTCACATCATTGATTATTTATATAAAATAATCTTATTTTGTCATAATTAAATACCATTTATGATACATAGATCATATAATTAGAGGGTACATTATACTCTTCAGTATTTAGTTGAGTAATGTAACGAGGATACAAAAGTATTTCTATCAATATATCCTTCAAAGGGCGTGAGAATATAATATTACAAAACATGCGCAAATAGTATTATAAATTCACTCACCAGTCTAATTAATCCGAAAAAAATATTGTAAATAATACGAATCAATTGATATGTAATAATGGTAATGGAGATTTTGCAATCCATATAAAATTAGTCGCAATTCAAATTACAAATTTCATTATCGTGCATTGTACAATGCAAAAATTTTTACGTACTATCGAACGAATCGCTAGAACGATATAATTCAAATTTCATTTATTTACAAAAAGCAAAAAACATAATCGACACAAAGAATCAACTGAAGTTCACATTTTCAGTTCCAATTAAATAATTTAAATAGACTTTACTGTAACTCTTTATACGATTTAATATTGATTTTTCTTAGAGTGAAAATGCAAGTATATATTTTCAAAACAATATTAATTTAATATTGATTTTTTTTTATTAATCTTATCAAAATTGCATCTTCTAGACTATATAATAACGCTAAGTAATTACATAGCATAAATATAATGGACAAATTCACTCACCAATTCCGCCAATGTTGATATCCATACTGCAGGACGATCTTATGCCAAGAGAAATCCTACAATGCAAAACATACAAAATAATTTGATAATCTTACATTCACATGGAAATTGCTAAAATTCGATCTAATTCTGAATATCTATCGCGTACATTTTAATCAGAGTCGATAGTAACTAGTTGATAAGTTAAAAGTTGAATAAAAATTACAATGTTAATAGCTTTATAATTAAATTCAGTTAATTTTAAATGAATTGATTATTGACTTAATTTAGTTGCTTTTAAACTTTAATTTATTAATTTTTTCTTTTTAAATTAAAGTTTTTCTATCTCTCTAAAAATGCCAATTATTTTCCATAAAATCTTAAACATTACAGAATTAGTTTTAAAAAACCTCAATGAGTAATGGACACAACACTTATAGTATCCAAAGATGAAATGTAGGTTGGGTCTGCATTAGGGAATGCTATCAGTTCTATTGTGTCAAACCTTGTTTTACGTCAATGAGCGATAAGGAAAGAATAAAAACTTTTTATTTACATATAATTTTTGAAAAACCTGCAGGTATGACCAGCATAAAGAGCAGTACAAAATTACTTACGTTTTTACAAATTATATTTTATTTTTTATTTATAATACAAATATCAAAATATGAAAATACCTACACTGAGGAAAATAGTTAACTTACCCAACCTTAATTTTAATATATTCGCATCGTCATTACACAAGTTTCTACTGTTAGACTTAACTCATTTTCTCATTAAAGAGAAAAAATACAATCAATAAGATAAACCAATCTATTTCAACTGATGATCAAAGGTAAATAATTTATAATCATTTTCAGTAGTGTAGATTAAAAACTTCAGTTCAATCTTCTCTCTATTTCTTTATTAATTTTAGAAAAAGTTGAACTGAGATTAAAGTTTAATTACACTGGAGCAAGTGAGCTAATTAATCGGGCATCTTCATTGCATAATTTTTATGTAATTTGATTAATGCTTATTATACAATATGTTTATTGCTTACAACACAAACAAGTTTATCAATGACCTTCGATCATAAAATTCAAGAGATATCTCCATATAAAAAAGCGAATAATCAACGTAGGGCTCTTGAGACGTAAACAAATAATAAATAAGGAAAAAACGAGCAATTAAGAGTTTTAATACGCGGTAATTAATTATATAATTATTTATATAATTAATTACCGCGTATTACCGATGAGATACTATTAAAGACCGATATCTTTACGGGAGTTCGCGTTCTTGTGAATATTGAAGTGATCAAGAGTTAAAAACTGATAATATATTGTACTAATTTTATGATTTATTAATTTAGTAGACGTATTTATGCATTTATACCTCAATAATACTCGATTTTTCTTTAAAACTATGACTTCAGTGTTATCGTCAGTTTGATTATCAACAGAGATGATAACTGCAGAGAAAAAATTGTAATTTTTCTGCAATAAATAGGATGTTATAGCTTTTTGTATTTTTTATTTATATTTCCATATTTCAATATTATTCATTTCTATAATTCTGTAACTTGAAAAGTCAATATTTCTTAAAGTCTTATGCTGTATGATTC